AACATTTTATCTCGATAACCAGGAATGTAATGTAAGAATGCAAACCTGCCCGTAACCAAAATACATAACCATAGCAAAGTCTTCAATGGTACCAAGCCATATAAAATAATAATGTTCCAAAGCACAAGATACCATGGATTTGTGAGGCTAGAGTTGGTCACAGTCAATAAATTACCATGGATTGAAACAAGATGTTCGGCCTGAACTTAGTCAATGATTAAGTACCAGACAAAATACCGACAAGTAACACAAAGCAGATTACATGAAACGACAGCCATTCATGTACAAATGATCCATTCTTACCGTCAGGTATTGTATAACTGTTCTTCACCTAGAGTTATGAACTAAAACACACGTTGCTGCCATGTATCTGTCCGGAATTAAATGAATCACTCAACCACAAAGCCTAACGTTGAAAAGTAAAGCAGCTAAAAAAAAACACCCTCCCTATTCATTTAATCTCAGGCTGGGAGAGTTTGTGAAGGAGATAAAGAAGAGAAGTATCTGAAACCAAGTGAGATTACAGAGTCAGCAGAGGGATATCAACACATTGTCATATCTGATTTTCAAGAGAGGGAAAAAGCAATTACTACACTATGAATATATAACTGATTGGTATTATATACACATCACAATATTCTGAAACTACCATTGATTGCACACAGCAATTAACTTTCTGTAACCACTTGATGCTTAAACTCTTGTGGTGAGCCAACCAATACTCCAGAGAGGACAGCAGCCATCATAGATTCGAACCCAGAATCCTGCACTGTACCACCACTGCATTTATTAAAATCAGAACGGACTGTAATAGCATGCAAAACAGCTCTGCGATTTTGTTAACGTTCCACCAGGGGTCCCACACATTCAGTACATTTGCTCAGTTGAAACCCAGAAACATGTGCCATATATTTATAGCTGTGCACCACATGGCCAACCCCTTGTGGAAATATTTGAACTAAAACATAAGGTATTGGATGACAAATTCAAAGCGCCTTAACAATTCATTCCATCAAATGAGAAAATTAATGAGTAAATTAAAACCCATTTACGCAAGGAATTACAAAAATGTGAAACGAAAATCTTCAACAATGAGAGGCATAATTCACAAAGCCAGTTTTCCAAAGGCTGGGTCAAAAATCTACTTAATCAGCAAAGTGGAGAAAATAAATAAAGAAAAAAATAATAACAGATTCACACAGAACTCCTTATCTTACAGCCAAAGGAAGCAGTTATGTCACTAGGTATGTGACTTTACGACACCATGCTTAAATTTAAAATAACCATTAATAAAAGAAGTTGAATCCAGTAACTGTGTTAATTATTGCTTGGAAATGTAATCTGACCATTCCTTGATACTGTCCACAAAATTACTGTATACTAGTGAAATGTACAGGAAGCCATACATTACACGTAATATTACCCAAAGCAAAAGCTCTGAGCTGGCTTGATACAAAGCATTTTCTTATGTAGAATGGTGGGTATACAGACCTTCTGAAAGGTGAGGTTGATTCACTATAATCGACCCAGACGAGCCCAATAAAGTTAACGGATCCAATGGAACTGGGCTTCCCAGCTGGTTTTGGAAGGTCTCATTCCTGCATGTTTATAAGTCCCTGAAAATAAGCAGCACCTGAATAACTGTTAAAACTGTCACAATTAAGCAAAAATTACTTCAGTTAAATTATTAAGAGCTGGAATAAAACCAGCAGGTCTGCAAACCTCCAGGACAAGTTAATACTGCATATCTGAACTGCCATGACACAGCCACTTCATTGGAATGAATGAAACAGCCCTTTGATACGCATCAAGCACAAGCCTTGCCAGACCAAATCCTAGTGGACAGCTCAGCTGAAGTTTGCAGCTCAAGGTTTTTGGTACAGCACACATAATAACAAATATTAGGACAGCAGAGGTGAAGTTCTGTTTGGCTCAGCTGTTCAGGTTTTTGGCTTTTCTCAACACAGTCTAAACTGGCTTAGATGACAGATGCTTTGTATTCACTGTGTCCTCCAGTGACTCATTCTTATTCTTTTATTTTTATGAGCTTGGTTTGCATGGAATCCCCTGAAAACTTACCAAAAAAATGGAAAGTCAACCCGTACAACACTAGTCAAAGAGCCATAAAATTCATGAGAACATTTTTCAGAAATTGGAAAAAAGTGGGTATAAAAGTTGCTAGGAAGTTACTGACACCAGACTCCTGCAGAATACGCAGCACATCCGTGTCCTCCTGATTTAAGCTTAAATCTAGGTTATGTGAATGTGAAAAAGCATTTGGATTCTTAAATATTTAATTTGGCTGAAGTCATATGTTCCTTCCTCTAAAATAGCTCCTCTATATACTGTATATAGCATACATATAAGAAACTTTGTCAAAATGAGCATTTCAAAAGTAATACACCACTGAGAACTAAGCTGTATCCAAAAATACTGATGCTTGACTATACAATTACCTAAGTGCTGATTTGAATGTAAAATGTAAAACAGCTACAAAAATGAAATGCTGTTGTGATGTGCTGTAATGAAGATGTCTGGCTATTATAAGGAAGAGGATGAAATCGGAAACAATTGACATTTGAAGCAGAACTCAATTTACTGTAATGTGTGCCTTGCATAGCGTGTATTTCTCAGTACACATTACATAGAAAGCAGTAACTGGCA